AAAAATTTAAAAAATTCAAAATTCACAAAATTTCCAAGCCTAGTAGTTGTAGTAGTTTCATCAAATGTTTATAGTAATAAATTACTTCTTTGAAATCTCTTACACACATTGCAGTTGCGGTGTATATTAATATTTATAATCAGCTATGCAACAATTTTCTTAACACTATACATATGTATATAACACATGTTAGCGCCAGCTGCGTTTATGGCAAGAACACTTTTTAGACCTACAACTTTTTAAATATATATTTAATACACAATTAAATGATAACTGATTAAGACAGCAATGAATTATTATTTCAAAAATTTAAACGAACCATTGATTTTGAGCGAAATACTTTAAATACTCTTTATAAAAAAAAGCAAAGTTAAGATGCTAAAACTTGTTCAAGTACAATTCCCTTCCAACCATTCATCGAAGAACGAAATTATTTTTATTTTTTGTTTTATTTTCTTTTGTTTTACCGTTGAACTAATTTAGCTGGTTTTAAAATAATTTTAAACAATTTTTAATCAATTCATGTGAAAACTTTAGTTTATGAAATACGCCAAACAAATATAAAGTCATCTAGTCATCTGTTGAGGCATAAAGTCGATTTAATGTAATAGAGACAAATAATTTTCGTTATTATTTGCAATAAATATATACACAGTTATATTGTACAAAAATATTGAGTAATTTAAGCAATTACGTAAATAAACAATAAACACAAAAAAAACATTGCAATTCTGCAATGACTAAATAACCACTCAAAGCACGTAGGCAGTGTTTAAAAGCGTTTAACGAACAAATATTTTCAGTTTTATAATATTAGTTCTGTAACTACTGCTAATAACAATGCACGAAAACAACTATTTATTTCGGCTTTCAATAAAAGTGTTTAAGTTCACGAATGGCTGGCACGTTATATGTGTAGTATAAATTTTCATATGGGAATTGAAAGGGATTGGCAAAGCTCAACTTTAATAGGCCACCTTCCAATGCTTCTAAGTACTTGGTATCCTATAAAAGAGTAAGTGTGAATTATTTATGATCATTAACAAATTATTTATGTGGGAAAATCTTACATCCAAAATCAAATGCCTTATTCTCGTGCCGGCAACCATCATTAACACTGGCAAATTATCACGTGCACGTTGCTTTCTTTGCARCAAATCTATCGTCTTATAGATCAACTCTTCCGTTAACTGATCACAATGCATCACATTAATATACTTTAACTTTGGACAGCCGTCCAACAACACCAACACCGCTTCATTTGTAACTGAGCGACAGTACCTTAAACTCACTGTTTCCAAGTATTGTAATGCGCAAATGTATCGCAAACATGTAGCATCTATATATTTACTACAATCGCAACCGAATACTTTTAAATTCTTAAATTGTGATAAAGGTCGCATACCGTCATCAACAATGAGTCTGGGCGAAAAAATACGCAAACACTCCAATTGCTCACCCTTTTGGTCAGCTAAACGGTTGAGTAATAAATTAAATGATTGTGTTCTAAACATTTCGGCAGACAATTCCAAATCAACTAGTCGTGGCAACCGTGCTATATCATAGTATTCAAAGCTTTGATTACACGATATATTGAGTTTTTCTAAATTTACACAATTTACTGGCAGGGCTGAAATAGCCACATCAGTGAGCGCATCGCACCATTGTAGTGTTAGCTTTTTGAGGTCCTTAAGTGATGTGCAAATTTCCACAAAGAAGTCATCCTGTATGCCACATTCAACCAAAGTCAGTTCTTTGAGGCATTTTAGTTTGCTTAAATATCGTCCTAGTTTTAGAGTATACGGATTAGAGATTAATTATCGTCAACAAATGCTGTGCCACTTACCCGTTATGTCTTCTTCACCCTCTAGTCTCAAAATCTCTAAAGTTGCCAATTCCGATACACTTTTCATTGCATTGTCGTCCAGCGAACACTTTTGCAAATGCAAACTATTTAAGTGTTTCATATTCATAAGTAATTTGCGTAAACATTTGGATTTTATTTTTGTCATTCCAAAGTAAATTCGTCGCACATTTGGACAATTTTTATTTACTTGCGTTACATATTCATTACGTTCCTGATCATTGTAGGGTAAGTTAACAAGTTCCTCTAAGTAATTACCAGCCATTTCAAAAAATCGTCTTATCTCACGTGTACTCATATCATTAAGATCGTATTTTCGCAATATTTTGCAATGCCTTTGGCAGTAATATTGAAATACGCTACGTAAACGTGGGCAAACCGTTGCCAAACGCACCTGTTCCACCAAATTTAGTTGCTTGAAGATTTCCAGCAAACAATCATCGTTCAGCATTAAAAGGCTGGCTTTTGTGACTACTCCATCTCTATTGTGTTGAGACATTTTTCCCAGCTAAACGTACACAGCACACTCAGAAGTTTTTAAAACAAATTAACCGGCATTTGTGGGAAATAAATTTCATCAGCTGTGTGACTACAGCTGTTTTTAGACTTTCGCAAAATTCGATTGCACAGATCAGTTATGAGAGCTGCAGAAATCGATAACAGCTTTTTGGAAATTTATTTGTGTATGGGATATAATTACCGATTGAAGCAAAGTAATGTAACTTTCTAATAACTTTCCTTGTGAATTTGAATCAATTTGACAGATTTTAYAAAAACTAACTAAAGTAGTAAAACATGAATAAATCTGCGGAAAGCCGTAATAAATCATWTGCATATCAATACTTTTTATTTATTGCACATTCGCTTTCGTCGAGCAYTTTGTCGAAACTATCGATAACTCATGTCAACACATGTTCACTTTCACAACACAACAGCTGACTAGGTAATAAAGTTAATAGACGAAAAAGGGTAGATCGTTTTTAAAGAATTTTGTTGAAATTTAATATTTGTAGTGTTGTTATAATTTTATAAACAAAGGATAGTTATTAATATAGTAAAGAGTATTAACAGCAACTTGTGTAACTTAAAAAATGGCCGATTCGACCATTATTACCACAGAAAATCATGTAGAGAGTAGCGACAGTAATGGGGAAACCCATAGCGGTAGCATAACATCTGTGTCAAACACAAGTGCGGTAATGATAGCATCACTAAAAGCACCAGAAATTCTTGAAGAATATGGACCAAATTTAAAATTATTGGATTGCAATTCGCAAGTGGCAGAGCTTTTAACAATAATTCGTGACAAGTAAGTCTTGCCTAATAGTTACAAATATTTTTGTTCTGAAACTTACCAAGTATTTTTGTCCCCGCAGAAACACTACACGCAGTGACTTCAAATTTTATGCCGATCGCCTTATACGTTTAGTAATTGAAGAATCTCTTAATCAACTGCCGTATTCCGATTGTCGTGTGGAAACGCCTACAGGTGCAAATTACGATGGACTGAAGTACCAAGCTGGCAATTGTGGTGTGTCTATTATACGCTCTGGCGAAGCAATGGAGCAAGGATTACGAGATTGTTGTCGTTCTATACGTATTGGCAAAATATTAGTTGAGTCTGATGCGGACACGCATGAAGCACGTGTCGTTTATGCTCGGTTTCCGGACGACATTGCTAGCCGACAAGTGTTGCTCATGTATCCGATTATGTCAACTGGTAATACCGTTCTGCAAGTGAGTAAGGGAAATAATATTTGAAACATATTTTACAGTTTTATATACATACTATATATATTTGTGCAATGAATTTCGCAGGCTGTGAATGTACTTAAAGAGCACGGTGTTCCCGAAAGCTGCATTATACTATCGAATCTCTTCTGTACCCCAATCGCTGCTAAAACCGTAGTAGGTGCTTTTCCTAAACTTAAAATTCTCACGTCTGAGTTGCATCCTGTGGCACCTAATCATTTTGGGCAAAAATATTTTGGTACTGATTAACATGGAAGTATATGTTTAGATTATCTAAGTTTTACACTGCATACGAAAAGATATATATTACAAGGGGTATATAGCCATTTAAATCGTTCTATATGTTTTTTAATTCATGTTTTTCACCACAAATTAGCAACGATGTACTTAAAGATCGTTAACATCTACGCGATTTCTGTGTACAAATCGCAAAATTTAGATATATAAATATTTTCCTAGCTTTAAATATGCAATATTTTAAAATTTTCCTATTCAAAATTATAACTWATTTGATAAATATAAATTTATTTATTGATTTGTTAATTTAAGTATATTATGGATAATTTCCAAGTAAATCAGTTCACCTAGATATTTCAAATTTAAAACTAACATTTGTTTCAATGTTTTCCATTGTTCATTTATCATAGTATTTAGAATAAATAAAAACAAAATCAACCAAACATTATTTTAATTTGATATATTGACCTTTATTATTTTTAATTTTATTTGGTAATTATCAGGACTTAAAAGTAAAGCACAATACATACGAATTACAAAAATTCAGATATAAAATTGTGTAAGTTAACATAATTAAAATTATTGATGCACCAATAGCTTAATGGAATAAAAAAAATGATGTCCACGCTACATTAGGAAGCCATTTTATAATTAACTACGGTGTCAACTTTATGCAAACCAGTGGAGAAGGAGCGCAGCTGAACAGCTTGCGCATTTTGTATAAAAACTGCTCCGGTCTCGTCCCACTTTTCAGGAATCTCACAATTTTGCAATGTATACAGCATTACATCAAAAGTGCAAATACAATCGAGTAACGGTAAATAACTGACCGTRGCGGATATTTGTCGCATAACATCGCGTATTTCATTTTGTATACGTTTCAGTTCCTTACTCGAAGTGAGCTTTGTAGCATCGCCAGTTTCACCATCACCCAATTCAGCCTGCATTTTGAAGTCCCAACACTCCAAAACTTCTTTGGTATGTGCATTTGTGATCACCATCGAGATTTTCTCTATCATATTTTTCGCTAGCCAATCTGCAAGAAAATTTAGCAGACATAATGTGAACTCAGTATGATTATTTTTGTGAGAATATTATTACCTTCCGTTTGCTGTAAGACATTTGACAAAAACTCTTCAATCTTTTTATCTTTCGACATTAAAATGGTTATGCCATATTGCTGTGTATTCTCAAAAGTTTCAGGTGGATAAATACCACGTTGAAATAGAATTGAATTAATACCATATTCTGAAATAAAAACCAATACCGTTTATCAAAGAATTCATTGTTTTTGGCACAATGATTTTGAGTTGGCGCCATGATCACAGCTGTCCCAGCGTTTACACAACTCCACTTACTTAAATATTCGACAATAATTTGTGCGGAGCCACGTAGCGTGATGCAGTTTTTGGTACTTTGAGTTGTAGACATATTTATATTAAACAATAACGCAGACAAATAATTTAAATTTAGACAGTACAAGAAGTTAAATTAAACGATTGAATGTAACAAAAGAAAATTCAAGTGTTCAGGGTTGTTAAATACCATCTAATTTCTTTTTATAGTGCAGAGTTTCCAACAGTTAACTAAATCTGGTTAAACAAGGTTTGCGCAAACTATATTCATCAAATCAATTTAAGATTTCTTTACATAAGTAAAATTATTTAAATGTTTGAATATTATGTAAGAAATAATGTTTTAAAAGGGTAAAAAAAGAATTTGTATGTTAGAGATTTCTTCTTATTCCATATCAATTATTTTTTTGACATACATTCACAGTTTTTAATGATAAGTTAACAGCTTATTTTTGATTATATTTTAAATATTGAGAACTGATTACATAATAAAAACTTTAGATGAAATGTTATTATTATTAATAAATAGATTGCATCATTCTGTATTGGGCCTCATGCTGATATCTGAATAAAGCTCGCAGCACTGTTTACTTGACTCAAATTTCAATGTTGCCGCTTTTAACTGTTTTCCCTTGTTTCCGAATCTGGAAGTCGGTGCAAAACGAATATTTATTGTTTGCCTTGTAATCTGGCATTCGCCGCTGTTCTCCTCGTTCGTTCGGTTTTCATAGCTCTAAGCAGAAGGGAGTTTTTAGGTGAGGTGGTGTATTATTTAGCAAATAAAAATTGGCTATTACAAAAAAAAAAAAAAAATATCGACAAAGTGAAGTGTAGGTGTATAATAATTACAACGTAGTTTGGTGCTTGTGCAACATATGTACATAATTTTTAATAGTTGATATTACCTGGTTTTCTGAGTCATTAAACCCATAAGAAATATCTTTATGAAAGCACAGAAAGAAAGTCAATGAAATCAATGAAGTGCAATAAATGTGCAAATCCACTGTATAAAAAATAAATATATATCGCTAAAGCTACAAGTATTTATTGGCATATGCGTATGTTTTCATCTGTGCAAATATAAATTCGTGAGTGAAAATGTGTAATAATTGTTGAAAAATATATTGCCGTACCATAACTTTTGCTGTGTGAATTTAAGAGAAATCGAAATGTAAAACTTTTTAACCTTCACATACTTTGGATGTCGATTTTTTTTTATTTGGCCCTATGCCACATATTTGCTGGTAGCGACGCATTTCTTTTCTGCTTTACAAATTAGCAGCGTAACAAAACAAAGCTATATGCAATATATGTATGTATGTGTATAATAAACAAAATACTTAAATTATTTCTTTGCAAAGCGTTTTAGGAATCTTCGAAATTCGGACACGATAAAGAGACAAAAGAAGATTGTTGCATTCGTTTTTGCTTGACGTTTAAGCTGTTTTGTTGTGTTCTTTAATTTGTTTTCAATTCATTTTCACATATCCTTCCATTTTGTACATATATTCTTTCATATCTGTTCTCATATCTTTGTTTCCTGGCGTATCCACTTTATATTTTTGCGTTGTAAAAGGAAAGCGAATATGTAGCGATTGCAGCGATCCACGCCCGTGCCTTGAATCATAGTTTTTATTTACATGCATTTTGTTTGACTTGCATACATACAAACAGCTTGTTTTTTAAAGAGTGTGCGTATGTAAGATTTAATATATTGCTGATGTGATTGCTGTGAAAATAACTTCCAAAAGTGATATTTCATCTTAAAGTATATCTAATTTTAACATCAAGAAAATATATTTACACAGAGAAAAAACAACTATACGCAATACTAAAAAACTAACGAAGTTACTTATATGTTTACATATGTAGCGTAATACGCGATCTTTACGTATTATAAGTACGAAATACTGTAAATCGATCATTAAAAAGGGTAATTTTATGAGAAACCTCTTAAGTGAGCTGTACTAATTCAAATAGCAAATATGCATTGCGACAATACGAAAACATCGTCAGAAATCGAACATGTGGATTGGAGTACTGGCACCGGCTCTGGTCACCACTACGCTAACGTCAGGTGAGTTGGAAATTAATAAGTTGTAATATAATAAACACATTCTAGACGAACACTTTATTACAACTGGTTCTAAGTGAAGGGAAACATTCTCATTGGTCCAACTTTAATTAAAAATATGTGCTGCATCAATAACTGGAATTTCTTTTATTTTTTCTCTTTTGATATATTATCGGTAGTGTTACTTTACTTGTTTTCATTGCTGAACTTCGCCGAGGCTCTTCCTATTGGTACCAATTTTTTGTTATCAGGTGACTTTGTATTTTCATAAGACAAACTTTCACTTGTTTGATGATAGAAATTAATCCGTTATTAATTTTGAAAATAGCTGTGTAGTAAACTGTGTAAACATTTCAAAACACATGTTGTTAATTGAGAAATAATATTCCATACTACTGGAAATTACAGTGTTTGCAGTTTTTAAAAAGAGTTTTTAAACATAAATATATACGCTGTATTGAACACATACCTATTCATACACAGATATATCGTTAGACTAATGTCAACTAATTGGAAACTTTGTTATTATTATTATGAAGACAAGACTCAATGCAAAAACATTTAGTTCTTTCCTTATAATTAATTCAATATTGCATAGATGAATTCTTAAAAAACGAGTAAATGCGAATAGGTAACATGCTATAACTCTTGAAAAAAGCCATTATCTAATTTCACCTGYCTTTTTATATAAAAGGTGTGTGATGTTAGCAAAAAATGCCTTTGTTAATATGAAACCAGCAAATACAAACGAGCCTATGTATATACATTTTTATATACATACTTATGTATACATATACCATATAGTTCGCGATACCAATCCGTGTTTGAACCCACCAACTGAAATTTATTTGCTTGTCTCTCTTTTTTTTTTGCCACTCAAGATAAAGTTCCGTTATTGCAACAGGTTTTTTGAATAAATGTATGTACACGCTTATTCAAGTTTGTWAATTTAATCAGTGCTTAACGTTGACATCGGCAATTTTGCCAACGTTCGCGTTAAAATTTTTAATTTTTATTAATCACTGTTACTTTGTGTGCTCCATTACTTGGAAAGTTGCGTCTTAAGCAAGCATTTATTTGCAAAAGTATTGGTTATCGCTAATGCAGTTACCGGAAAGTGAGACCCATTTGTAATATACGTACATATATTACTAAATTTTTTTATTTATTTTTAAAAGACTCCTAATTATTATTTATGTTGCTTACAGATTTGTTTGCCGTATGAAGCAAATTTTTTTCTAGTTTTAATATCGTTATTATTATGTACTTATGTATATAATTATGTCCCGGTTTTATCAACTCATACGGTCTATATAAAAGAAAATGAAGCGCTCTCTGAATACAACAAATGACGTTAAACATATTTACTTATTAAAATAAGAAAAAACGTTTCTTGAGTTGCACCGAAGCTGGTCTTCCATCAGGACAACACTAGACCACACACATCTTTGAGGACTWGGCAAAAACTGGGAGAGCTTGGCTATAAAGTCCTTATGCATCCACCATATAGTCCTGACCTTGCACCATCATTTGTTTYGGTATTCCTTGCAATAAATATGTATTCCTCGCAATAAATATGTACATATATCGTTTTTCCAGGGTTTTTTTTTTTACTAAGAATTGTTGTGCATAATATATACGTCATTGATGTTATTATGCATAGTTAAGGAAAAAATCACATATTGCTTTTGTTTTTAAAAAGTAATTATACTAATTAGTGATTACTCRCAATCATTAGAAGTTAAACTGAAAGATGACGAGGCTCACAAAGCTTTCTTTGTTGTGTTTACATAATTAACAACAAATCCAAATGTAATTGTGACCACCCTGTTATTTCTGTTGATATGTAATTTTAATTGTTAACTCAGTATTCAATAACCATA